ATAAATATAAATATATAAATATCTATTGTTATATTAGTACATGCTTTCATGTATTAAATATGAAGTTTTTGTGCATAAAAACACACAAAAAGTCTTTCTTCCTGGAAATCACAATAAAATAGTCCCAGGCATTACAGATTTAACCACACGTAAGAAGGCATGGTCCCCAAATATTACTATTAATGAATGATAGGAAAGAAATGTCAATGGCTCCCAAGTTGCAGTGTATTCTGAGGCACTTTGGTTCCCCCAGCTCTATTATTTCCAAGTTCAGGTTCATTTCACATAGCGTGGAAACCAGAGGCATTTTCATTCCAATCTGTGTAGAATTTGATGAAGAGAGAAAGTTACAGAGAGTTTTCAGAAATAATGGCTTATATTTAAAATTATAGTCGACATGTAAGTTGAAGCTGTAAGCCCCCAATGACCCTAGAATGAGGCCATATTTGAGAAGGTGGGGGTCTTTAAAGAGGTGAGTATGTTGAACGGGTATCATTAGGTTGGGCCCTGATCTAATATGACTAGTGTCCTTTCAAGAAAAGCAGAGAAGAAGGATACAGCCTTGCTTGGATGGACAGATCTGTCACACTGAGAAAGTGGCCATGTGCAAGACAAGGAGAGAAGCCCATGAAGACAGAAAAACTGCAGACATTTGACCTTGGAATCTTCGCCTCAAGGACTGAGGAAAATCAATTTTGTTTTTAGATTACTCAAATTTTGGTATGGCAGCCTTAGTCAATCCCATACAATAAATAACATTTTGGAATGGAAATAATAGCTGATGCAGTAATTAAGGTGCCTAAATGGTTTTCATATAGATTAAGAAATTTGGGGCTGGAGAGATGGCTCAGTGGTTAAGAACACTGGCTGCTCTTCTGGAAGACCCATATGGCAGTTCACAACTGTCTACACCTCCAGTTCCAGGGGATTCAGTACCTTCACACAGACATACATACATGTAGGCAAAACACCAATGCACATAAAAATGAAAAATAGATATTAAATAAAAAGAAATTCACCATGATAAGATAATTAAAATCGTTTGAGGTTGGGGATATTTGGACTTTTTTTTTCTAGGAAGATTAATAAGTATCTGAGATTAACAGGAAATCAAATGCCTGTGAGTATTTATTCCCAGGTAAAGTTCCAACCTCGAGTTCACTGGGCTCAAGGAGATGAGATAATGGATCAGAAACTGAACACTACCTCAGACAACTTTTCAACACCGAAAGTGACAGGTCATGCTCACAGGAAGAACATCAGTGTGACCCGATGAGAACATGACCTCTGTACATGCTCTTCCTCCTGAAAACTCCAAATCTGGAGCCCCAGGCTAAACCTAAGAAAAGCATCAGCCTTGGGCTATGGAGCAAGTTCTATCAGCCTTGGGCTATAGAGCAAAACCTAGGGGTTTCTCTCTCTCTCTCTCTCTCTCTCTCTCTCTCTCTCTCTCTCTCTCTCTCTCTCTCTCTCTCTCTCTCTTTCTCTCTGGCATTGTGGTATTAAATATTCAAAGCTGTCTGGATTATCAGCAACAAGAAATGTCATGTGGGATACCAAATAGAATTCTGGGACAGAGAAGGGAGAAGGGGAGATAGGCTCAAACAAACAAACAAAACTAAGGAAATGTTAATCCATTATAGGTTAATCATGCTAATCCTGGTTCATTTACCGCAACAAACACAGTAAAAACAGGGAAATCTGAGGTATCTTGGTGCTAGGTCATAACTTTTCTGTAAATCTGAAACTGACCTAAAAATCCAGCTTTTTTTTTTTTTTTTTTTGAGACAATGTCTCCCTGTGTAGCTCTGGCTGGCTTGGAACTCAGTATGTAGATCAAGCTAGCCTCAAACTCAGAGATCCAGATGCCTTCGCTTCCTGAGTTCTGGAATTAAAGACGTGCCCAGTGAATTTTGCATTTTTAGTGCTGCTGAGACGAACTAGAATTTTCACAAATCCTACAGAAGCCAAACAGGGTCTAGTTATTTAAACACCAAGACATCCCAGAGGCCACCACTTTGCAAAGGCTGTTTTAGACTCTGAGGTTACCGTCCCTGAAGCATGCCCGTTTATTCAACATCGGGTATGGCTATTGTATTATTTCCTGGTAAATCCACAACTGCACAACTGGACATTCACAACATTCTTGCTGCATTTCAGTTAATGACCAGATAAACTTAAGAATAGTCCTCGGTCTTCTCTGTGATTATAACAGCCTGGTACTCGGGAGGCAGGACAAGTCCTCATTCAGGAAAGATGTGCAAGGCTGTGTGGCCATTGTCAATATAACCTCTCATGCCTGCTCTAGACTACAAGTGCAGGGACCATTTTTTTCTTTTCTTTGTACTATGATTTTATAAACTCATCGATCTCTCTCTAGCCTTGTTCCCATTGCTAGCCCACACAGCGAATACTTGCTAAACTAAATCTGAGTCCACAGTTTCCAAATCTCATTTGAAATCTCGAATGGATGCTTACTATTACTGAAATACAATTTACTTATTTTTTTTAAGTCCAGGTCTACATAAAACAAAATACTTAACTATTTTGGACTATCAGTAAAACCCATACCCAAAAATCACACCAGCTCATGTAAGCAACAGTCTGATCTCCATTCATGAGTGACTCTTGCTTTTGTTCTAATTCATCCTAGACCAATAAGATTGGTAAAAGGCAGCAAAAAACTCACATTTTGAATGACGTCTTTTGTTTGTTTAAAGCTTTTTCTGACTCGATATTATATTAGTTGGCATTGCTTTAGTAATAGTAAAATATGATTTATGGACCTCATCACTAAGGCTTAGCAATCAATACTGAGGAATACTAGTCCTTTTTTCTTAACAAAAATGAAAACTTACATTTAAAATTTAGAAAGTACTACATATAAATGAATGTATAAATAAACAACTAAAAAATCCCCCCCAAAAAACAATATTTTAAAATCCTAATTCAAATTTTCATATTTAAATGAAATCTTTATTTTAAAGGCAGGGAGAGTTCTGAGAAAGATTACATCGTCATAGAAATAAGGGTGGGACACCATCTGTGATTTTCATCGTCCGTATTTATCCTGAGGCTCAGGAAATGTATGGTGAAAAGTACATCCTTAGGAAAAAGAATGAGTTTGGGCGTAGCTCAGTGGCAGAGTGCTTGCCTAGTGTGGAGTAAGCCCTGGGTTCTGTCCCTAGCATGGTAAAACAACACATTGAAGCCTTTTATTCGATATCATCCATATGATGTGAATATTTCTTATGTTTCACCAAACACCTCTAGACTTGAAGTATCTCCCTGCGTAACAACTCAAGGCTTGTTTTTATGTTACTGACATCTACAGGGAACCTTTTCTCGTGATCTTTTTTTTTTTCCCCAAAAAGTAAATCCTTGGATTGAATAACTGTCTCCAAGCTCCTTAAGGCTTATGTGTTCCCCAAAAGCTTCTGAAAATGCAGCCACTTTAAAATTTGCTCTGCCCCACTGAACACACACACTGTTGGTGAGACCCTTTCCAGTGCAACTGTTACATCTGGATGTTCTAGGTTCAACACTCTATGGTTGTAGTAATGTGAGTATCCACAGAACCGTCTTTGACTTCCAAGAAACCAACCATGTCATGGCTGAAAATGCAGCTACTTTAAAAATTCGCTCTGCCCCACTGAACACACACACACTGTTGGTGAGACCCTTTCCAGTGCAACTGTTACATCTGGATGTTCTAGGTTCAACACTCTCTGGTTGTAGTAATGTGAGTACCCACAGAACCGTCTTTGACTTCCAAGAAACCGACCATGTCATGGCTGAAAATGCAGCTGCTTCCACTTCTGGGAGAATCTCTAATTCTGTAGTTGATTTCTCTGTCTCTCTGTCTCTCTGTCTCTCTCTGGTTCCATGTAAATGTAAGCATATTCTTAACAAGTTGTTTGTCTTTTCAAATTAAGGTTCCTTCAGCCCTTAAGAATCACCTCTATGTTTCATCTGTCGTATGATATAAGTGGGTGTTATAACTTGAAAAGGAAAATTATGAAAGGATTAATATTTCATTAATATTTCAGGGGCCCAGTGAGATTTCCCAACCCCGCTCGCACTTCCCGTCTGACAGGTGGCCTTCAAAGAGCTGTGGCCAAAGACATCATCTTTGTACTGGCAGAAATGAGGAAGAGTCCTAAAGACAACCCATTTCTCTATCTAACTTTCAGAAGTTTTCTCTTTGATTTAAACTTCTGGTTGGAGGAAGCCTTCACCGTTGTGTGGAACAGAGATGGCAAAGACCAAGGAACTGGGGAATTTGCGGTACCCTCACAGGCTAAGGCTCCAGTGAGGTAAATGCCTGTGGCAGCCTCTGCTGGTGGGAACAACTTGGGCTTGAAGCACCATCCAGCCTCTCATTTCACAGAGTAAGAGAGTGGAGGCAAGAGAGACAGACTTAGCATCCACACATGGAAGGAGGTGCTGGGAAGCCATTGGTTCGAAGTTCAGAGTGGCCAAAGAATGTTCTCTACTGTTGTGTACCTCAAGACACAGAAGATCACTTTTGCACCCTCATTTCAAGGGACTTTTCCAACTTTCCCTATGAGTAGTACTATTTTATTCCTGAAGATTTTATGTCCTGGTTCACATCCTATAAACGCAACCAAGCATATCCTTAATCATCACAACTCCATTATTTATTATCAAAACAATTACTTATGATGATTCTGGTGCCTGGCAATTTAACATGATGGAAGCTCAGACCACATCAATTAGACAACTCCCTCTGCCCACTTCCTCCCCTTCCAGGGGCCGTTTAGTCAGCTCCAAGAGTCAAGCAAGCTGCTCTGACCAGGTCTCAGCCAAATAGAACTCCTGGTCCAGTGTCTTCACACACACACACACACACACACACACACACACACACACACACACACACTTTTTAAATGCCTAGAGATCAAATGAAAGCCCCAGTATGAAAAGGCAAGGCTCAGAGTGGCTTGGCCATCCCATTACACCTGTCACACTTTCTTTACCTGTCTGTAAGACCAGAGCTCTCTCTTCTCCGTCCAGAGAGACAATCCTGAAGTTGTAGATGGTTCCTGCTTGTAAATCCTCGGGGTTACATCCATAGGTGACGTTGTCTATCCGAATGGGGTGGCACCACGCGGGCCCTGAGGTATCGCTGTTGTAGATGAGGCTAAAGTTACAGGGTGACCCCAAAGTCCTCCACTGGATAGACGCTGACAAGCTTGAGACCTTGGACTCCAACAGTGTGAAGTTACATCTCTCTAGCTCTGCCAGTCCAGCCTGCAAGAGGATCAGAGAGCACAGATTAAGCCCACAGTCTGTACTGCCTAGAGACATATATCCACCTCCCGGAGTCACCTGTCCTCACCCCTGGCGCCCAGCCTCAGTTGTCCACTCATCCTCCAACCCAGGAAAGGGCTCAGAGGGGAAGTGGATGGCAGGCAACTTTCACCCTAGTGCTCCACCTCCCCCAGGAGCATCTGGAGACCGAAGGCTGCTTTCTTGACAGCAGGTTGAGCTGTCAGTTTGGTAGATGGCAGAATTTTGGGAAAGGATGACTCTCCTACATAGAAACATGAGATTTCTGTTCCTTTCCACCTAGCAGTGCAGCCCCGGAGGCTGAGAAGAGGATGGACTTGGTTCTTAGCAGGGAGGATCAGAGCATCATCCCCAACCCCTGCCTGCCCGCGCTCACCTGCAGGAGGCTCAGCGTGATCCACAAGGCCAGTGCGGCTCCATGGTTCAGCATCTCGCTGGGAGGACAGCCAGGCTACCTCGGGTACCACTTGTTGCGCGCTCAGCGCGCCCCGTGGGCGCAGCGCGCTTCCCTGGGAGCCGGCGATGCGCTGGGGCTGGGGCAGCAGCTGCTTCTGCTGCCGCCCAGGGCGGGCTGCGGACGCGACAGGCGGCGGGGACCCGCGGCGCGCGGCCCTTCCCACGCTGCCATTCTGACCCGTGCTGCCTCGCCCCCAAGCCCCGTCCGGGACTTCCGCAATCAAAAGGCAATTTCCTTGTCTCCCGGCAAAGGAACAATGCTCCGGGAGAGGGAGGGAGCCCTGAGGAGCCAACGCCTGAGGCTGCCAAGGGGGCCTGAGGCCAGCCAAGCTGCCCCCCTGCCTCCGCTGCCGCCTCCACCGCCAAGGGTCCCTTCCGGGGCCGCGGGGCTCTGCCTTCTCTTCCTCCTGGACTTTCACTTTTTCCTTCTCAGTGGTCCTCAACTCTGTCATCATAGCCTTAAACGGTGCTTTGAGCCCTCTCACTTTTCAGCCCCCCTCCCTTCTCCACACCCAGCGTCCCCCTCCCCATCTTCCTTCCTATCTTTCTCATCTGCTTTCTCCAGGGCCTCTTTTCCCAGGCTTAAACTTGACCGGAGCACATTTCCCTGGGTCGCCCACACTCTTTCCTGAAGCCTTTTATTAGAGGGCTTTTAGCCCTTCTCGCCTCAAAATACTCATTTGTCACTGTCCACATCCTTTTGACATCAGCCGGAGAAAAGACCCTCAACCAGCCCGCCCATTATCAACACGACCTTCGTTTCTCCGTCCAGTCTCTCAGTTTGCTTGCATAGGTCTCTGGGCTCCCTAAATCTTAGGGAGATACTGTGAACTGACCACAAAATAGTCGTCAGCAACATGTTCAAGCCCCCAGCAAGCAGTGTCGCCACTGACCATCCAGAAGAAAGGAACATCAGCTTCGTTCAGTGGGAAACACTCCCGTAACTCAGCTTCCCACACCTTCCAAAGAAGTAGGCACGGTGTTTCCCACACCAACTGTCAGCACAACTGTCCTATAACCTGAAGAAATGTGTGTCTCAAAGTAGGTTCGAGAAAAACTCTATCTAAAAAGCAAATGTACTTAATGGCATACAGGTGATAACAGTGAAGCCTTGTAGCCAGTTTTATGGTTTCAAGGTTCTGAGGTACTTAAAAGGAGATATGACCCCACTGAAACGACTAAGGTAAGGCCAAATCCTGTTCGGATTCCATCTTGGGTTTACTTAAGATAGTTCTTAGCCCCCTACACTCCCTCCCCACAACGGTCAGGCCTGCTTTGGCAACACATTTGAGATTTCCACGCCTTGACTATGGTTCCAGATGTATTAGCCAAAATAATTGCCAAGTTATGTTTAAAATGACTATTATGCTCTGGCAGAAATGAACATTTTAAGATTTTCTGACGCTATTCTAACTTTGATGTATCTTTGTGGGTTTTGTCTTTGAAAATGATGTATGCCTGAGCTGGGCCACCAAGAGACTTCCAGAGTCGTGAGCCTGCCCTTGGTCTGGCCATTAATAAAAGACTCCAGAGTCTTAATTGGCTTAATCAGCATTGTTGTCAATAACTGTCTCTCATGGACCATTACACCACATTTCAAATCACTGAGGGATTAGGATACCCACTCCCGCACATATATTACAGAGTGGATAAACTTAGGTTATTGGCTACTTATGTCTCCTGTACTCACTTTGAAGGAAAGTAGAAAACTTGAAGAAAGTGACAGTTACTTTAGTTCTTCTAGAAGATGTGCTTGTCAATATTTCTCCATGAAAAACTGCATTTGTTCCCTTCCAGAGACTTCAGGCTTATAGAGGTAGACACATACAGGTCTGAAATCTATCACCCTTGTAAGTCAGCAGGCACTCACCAAGCATCGAGCACCTGTGTGCTTTGGGAAAATGCAGCGTGTCTTGTTTCTTCACCCAGGGTACTTGTCTCCCTAAATGCATTTTCATTCTCTGTATTTTCTACCCAGCATTCTCCACAGCCGGGCAGACCTTTCTGTCTCATCACCCATAGCCTGCTTCTCTCCTCCACTAGCCAGGTGCTTCATTACAAGCACCAACCACCTTGAGTCTTAGGCGAAGTTTCTCAGCTCATTCCTCTTAGCCCTTTCTTACCTTTCTGTATTCAGAGAACTAGGCTCAGTCAAAGAAGAACCATGTTCTAAAGGCGTCGCACAGAGAACTATGATACAATCACAAATGTAAAAGCAACTTGGCAAACCTCATTTGAACAAGTGTTAGCTTGTTTAGCAACAGGTGCATCCAAATCAGTTTCTCTTATTGTTTTTATTTTTGGTCCTCTTGTAAATTTACTCATTGGATAGGCCCCACTTTCTAATTCCTGATGTTTATGCTTTTCTTTGTCATCGTTTCCAATTGGTTTTTTTGATTTAAAGTCTTCCCACTTAAATATATTAAATATTCACTGTCCCCTGGAAATCTTCAATAAATCTTATCTTTCCCAAGCACACACACACACAAACAAACACACTTGCACACACACACTCACTAACATGCTGCATTTTTTTTGACCAAGCTTTTTAATATATCTGATAATCCTTCCTTATGACTCAGATGAGTATACCTGAAGACATTTGAAAAGGAGCAAATAGGGACTGTGAGAAAAACCTTCCCAACATTACTGCTTAGATGCTTCCAAATTAACAGAAACCCAGCCAAGCGTGCTCCCAAGAACCTGCCAAAAGTGGTCCCAGGAACCTGCCAAGAGTGCTCCCAGGAACCTGCCAAGAGCTCTCCCAGGACCAGGAATTTGGAAAATAAGAAATCCTGTTTTTAAATCCATTTTTGAGCTATCAATGATGAACATGTCTATTCAGAATAATTGAGGTTAAGTCATTTTTAATATCCTCAACATAGTTGAAGAATCATATCAGTACATGATGGGAAGGACCAGTAGTTATAAACATTTCTTTTCCAAAGGTATATAACTTCGGACTTTCAATTTATCATTATTTTACCGTTATCATCTCAAGGCTGACCACAGAGGTTCCAATACTTTGTGGGTTCTAAGTAGCCCATAAAAATTAATGTGTAATGAGAGACAATAGTTTTGACTTAAACTTGGACTCTTACTGACTGTATTTTTCCTTTTGAAATAACAAATACAGGGGCCACAGAAGTAGCTAAGCAATTAAGATCATTTGTGGCTTTTTTAGAGGACCTGGGTTCAGTTCCTAGAGCCCACATGGTAATCACAACTATCCTTAACTGCACTTCTAGGGGATCTGATGCTTTTCTGACCTCATGGGCACCAGGCAGGCATGCATGTGGTGCATGTGATATAACTGCAGACAAAACACTCACACATATATTAAATAAACAAATAAAAAAGTTAAAAAGTGGAACCACAGCTGCAGTGTTAATACGCAACTCTGTAAATGTGGTTACAGGTTCCAGGAGCACAGGATCACATGCCCAAGGTCACCTTTTGGATGGAGACTGTTTGAAACTCTGTGCAAAGTATAAATATGTTGACTCGTTTCTCATTTGCTCTCTTTGTTTGGAATTCCTCAACTGCTTTTGAGCCCATTTTTCCTATAATGTGACCCTGCATTTACTTTTAGAAGTCATTGCATTCCAGGAATGGGGATCAGTCATTCTGTACTGTGACAGTGGCTTAACCTTTTCTCCTCGCCATCAGGAAACCTTTCCCAGACTCCACAGGAAGGGTGTGGCTGCTTCTGACTAGACAGTTGTCTTCTAAAAATGGTGATAAAAAGTCCACAGTAACAATCGTGTTTGAGTTAACACAGTCATTGCTTACAAGCTCACAGCTAAGGCATAGATCTTTTTATATTATGAACACCGACGCTGAGTTCATCAATCACCAGGGGCAAGAACCACTGTTTGGGAATGGTGACTTTATTTCTTTGTATATTTTTCATACTTATTTGCTTATTGCAAAGAGCAACTTAAAGATGTAAGTAAACAACTTAGTGTATAGGGCAAGGTGTACAAGGTCCTGAGCACAGGATTGTCCATCCCCTTGGGGTCGGGAGCATGTCACACTTAGGAGCATAGGGATGTGCTCCTTCTCACCTTCCTGGAAGCCCTCAACCTCGGGCACTTGGTTTTTATAGATATTACATGCAGTAGGGCTGATTGAATCATTGGCCACTGGTAATGAACTCAACCTTCAGCCCTTTCTTCCTCCAAGAGACCCCTTTCAAGCATTCATCAATTCTCCCAGTCTCTTCACCCCTATTAAGTGTTTATCAGTGGTGCCTCTAAAAATCACATTCATAAAGGCTCAGGTGTGGTTGAAAAACATTGCTTGACCTGTATCTACTTGGAGCTGTTTCAGGGACCTAAGTCGAATATTTTAACAAAAAACATTTTTATTATTCCAATGACATAAGAAATTGCAAGGATTATAGGAACCATGTACGAGGAGCCATAGATTTAAAAAGCCCAATGTACAGAATGTTCCTCTGGACTTTAAGTCCCAATAAGCCCATCTGTGATCTAGTGTTCACTCTACCACAATGGCTGGGGTAGAGTTGGGGTGTACCTTTGGCATCCCCAAAATCTCAGTTGCCTCATGATGGAGTTAGCTGTGTGGTGGTTCCACCTTTACATACTTTGATTTGAGTATATGGCACAAGGTCTCCACATCTTTCTTTCCTTATCCCAGGGTGAGGCCATTCCCCAGGGAAATTCAGACCCAGCCAGGGATGGCCACTGCTTCAGTTTCACCTGGAACACCTTCGCTCCTCAGCTCTCTCACCAGTTTCCTGTCCACACATCAAGCAAGGGTGTTATGAGTGTGGGCACAGCACACTGAGCACACCACCATTATATTTTGTCTTCTCTAACCAGTAACTTTTTCTAAGCATTCCACCAGCAGGGTTTGCACTCACACAGGAATGTGCCTGCTGGATGGTGCCTATGACATCATCTGATGTCTCAATAGGAAGGAGGTGAGCTACTGTAGACTAGGGACTGACCAGGGTGTGAAACAGAAACTTCTGCGGTAGAGAGGAAGCAAAGTGGATTGGAAAAATTAATGCAAGCAAACCTCCCATGAGAGACTGAAAGGCCGAGGACCTCACCCAGGACCTTCATTACCTGGCTCTGCCTTGTT